ATTGAAAAAGGCCCAGATAATCTGCTTCTTCTAGGGTACTCTGCAGTTGCCTTCCTACCATAGTGTCAACAATCTTCTGAGAAAGAGAAGGTTGTACATGGGACAATGTTTGTCCAATGCTGTTGGATCTAGGGAAATTTTTTTGAGAATACCAGAAACACCCCTCTTGAGGTGAAGCATTAATCACTTTTGGATCCAACAACCATTCTCCTCTGTCCTCCAAAGGAGCCAGGAAAGGCATGGATCTAGTCTATGAGTAGCAGAGGACTTATTAATGAGTACCACAGCACTTCCTTGGAATCCAGGGGCCAAAAAGAACCCCTGTTAACACAGCAAGATGATACTCCAGTCATCACCATGGACTTCAACCATGAAGAGTCAAAACTTTGGCAAATGTGAGTTTCTTGACAATGTACTTTGCAAAAGGTCACAGTTGCCAAGCAGTAGATCTACCAATGATTCTCTTCCCAATAAGGAGTTGGTTGCCTAAATAAGGCAACCAGCCAACAGCCCAACACAATAAGGGAGAAGTAAGAACACTCTTCTTCCCTTACCACCACAGTGTAGGCTCAAAGCTGAGCTCATACCCATGCTTGATCAGATTAACTTCTAGTCTTTCTCTGCTTGTCTGACTGGTTTTCCAAGAGATTAAATGACAGTTTTGGAAAAGAGTCTTATCATTCTCTACAAGTGTAGCCCATAAGCCTAGATTCTTGTGTGTTCATAATAAAGATCATTTATTATTACTGAGCACTTAAGTGCTGGCTGCTTATCTACAATGAAACACATGAAGATGATTTTGAAACCTAATGCATCTCAAATTCCACCTTTCAAACTTTGTGTCACACAAATTGTACAATTAACAATCAATATGTCAGTCCTATCTGTATTCTACTATTTCAGGCTTTAATTTTCTCCATATAAAAATTTACAAACAAAGTCAAGAACTGTGATCAACATCTAGCACCTGCATATAAATGCTGTGTGAACTCATAGGTATTTCTAGCATGCTATATGATTGTGTAAACATAATAATTCTTGCTCTACCGCACAAGCATGCAAGTATGCATCACATTTGGATCACAAGAGCTAACTTTTTTTAGAGCATCCTGATTTCTGCCTTTGTTGCAGCTTCTAAAAGCATGATAAGTATGACCCAAACCCTTCTAGTCAATATGGAAAGAACTGTGACAGGGCAAGAGAAAAATGTCTGAGCCAATACGAAAATGTTAAGTCACATGTAATTTCACAAATTACACATAATTAGATCCTGCTAGCTAAATTCATGCACAGTGCTCTCAAAACTAAAACATGACACAAAAGAATCAGATAGAATCACCTCTCTTTTTCATATTACTTAAGAACAAAACAATCAAAGAGAAGTAAAACATAATTCTGTTCTTGCTTCAAGCATCTACAATCTTGAACAAAATCTTCTTCCATTAATTATCTTGATAGAAAAGGTAAAACAGATTATAAATTGACCTCAGTCCTATATCATCTAAGCTAGGAGTTCTTAGTCATTTCCAATAAAGATGAAATGAACAGACAAGATCCATACTGATTACATGGGGATACACAAACATATATGAAATGCAAAACAATAATATCCATATAGTAAAGTGCAATAATTGCAATTCAGTTTCTTCTAGACCTCACAATAAGGACAAAATAAGGATATGAAAATATATAATCTACTTTAACTGGACTTCCTTGATGTAAGTTTTATTAATTCCATGTGTAAAAGAAAAAGAAAAAGAAAAAGAAAAAGAAAAAGAAAAAGAAAAGCCAGCTTCAATCCCTGAGATTTTCTGGCTTTCTTACTATGCATTACATCCAGAAAAATGGTTTTTACAACTGTTTTTCTTTTATTTTCATGACACGACATGTCTAACACTGAAACCTTACTTTCACAGTCAAGTAAATATATGTTAGAAATTAATAAGATCAGTTCTTCTGCACGCCTAAAGCAACATTCCTCTGTGATACATTTCATAAATCACACATCAAACACATCTTATTTTTATATACTCTATGAAAAATGACAATGATTTATCTATAGGAGAGTGGAGAAACTGTAAGATAAAATAAATAAAATTAAAGCAGGAAACACCATTTCATAAACCTATGAATTAAGACTTTGCAAATCTTTTAAAAGAGGTGCTTCGTAACATGTAGGTGTGCATTCAAGGCACCTCTTTATCCAGGCTTGCATAGCTCCTTTGGGAGCTGCTCCCAGCTGTCTTTAAAAACTTGTACATGGGTGGGCACTCCATTTTTCTCAGCAAAGCACCTCTCTTTTGAAGGATTACCATAGACACTCTGTTCGCTTTTTTCCTAGCAAATCATCTTGTTTGAAAGATTTCCAAAGCTCTACTATGAACATGACACCAGGAAAGAAATAAGATGAGCTGATTTTTTTTTTCTTGGTATTCTACCTCTTGACCATCTGACATATGTGCAAATAATAATAATAATAATATTGCTAGCTGTAGAGCTGGTATTGTTTCTGGCCCTTATTTGGGGCATGGCAGGGAATAATGAATCATATGATTCCCAAAAGCTCCTGGAGCACATCATTCCTGGCCTCACTGCTGCCAGGGCAAGGAAAGCTGCAGGATTTCTGCCACTGCATTTGGTGGAGCCCCCCACACCCAGAGTTTTCACAGAACAGCATATCTACAGTTTTAAATGGTTTTCTACCACTACCACAGAATGCTATAAAGAACAGATGTAGTAAATTTAGGATTGTAACCTAAAGCTATAAACACTATAAAGCCAAGTACAGTAAGTTCTCAAGAACTTTTTTTCAAAATTATTAGCATACAATCATTTTCAGACAAGAACAGTGTTATTTTTTCCTACAAGATGAAGTGACCTTGAAAATGTTAAAAATAGCAATCATAACTGATAAAATCAATCAGTAAAAATTTGTAGTAAAAATAACTGTGAAAAATTACAACATTTAGATTTTTAAAATATAATACCACAAAGCAAAACAAAATGCAAGATGATTTAGAGACATCTTCAGTATACCAAGCCTTTATCACTTTTTGGGAAAAGGGGGGTCAACATCTCTATTTGTCAACACTGTAAATACAGACTGACACTGAAAAATTATTCCCCATCTTCCAAACACAAGCTAGCTAGCAACGACTTACAAACATCTATTTATTTAGATAATTTATATGGCTACTCATCTCACAGAAGTGACCCTGGGTGTCATACCAAGATTAAAAAAGAAAAAAAGAAAATTAAGAACAATAGTCCATGACCCCCAAGGTAAATGATATGTTCTAGTCTTAAAATCCCACCTTCAAAAGAGTTTGCCTAACCTGACCCAAATATCTGGAGAAACAGGCCTTCAGAGAGTTATGAAAGGCTAATAGGGTCAGGGTCAGATTACCCATTGGTCTTCTCTATTTTTACTATTAAGATATATGAAGTTTGAAGGTAACTTTACACAAATAATATAGAATTTATATTATGATACAAAAGCTAGTTTAGGATTAAATGACACAAACTTTATCTTATTATACACTGAACAAAGGACAAAGTATTCTTTGGCTTTCTCAATTATCCAGTACATATCAGCATGAATGTTGCTTGTTCCTGAGCCTTTTCTAAAACCAACTGTTTCCAACCATCTACCATTTCCTTTTCCATGTATGACACTAATCTGCACTGGATGATCTTAAGCATTATTTTGCTAGCATGTGAAATCAAAGATATTGTGCAATAGTTTGCACATTCTGTTTGCACTCCTTTCTTTCGCATTAGTATGTAAAGTGATCCCTTCCAATCTGTAAGCTACTGTTTTCCAGATTTGCTAGCATCGTTTGGTTAGAAACTTTAGAAATGTTTCTTCTGCTGCTTGCCATATCTTTATAGATATTCCATCAATTCCTGTAGCTTTCCAACTTGTCAATAACCACAGTGATCTATTTTTATGTTCTAGTACTAAGGTTTCTTGTAAACAGGGAATATCTTGGATAATAAGGGGTCTTGGATGTTGCCATCTTCATTATGCAGAATTTCAGTATACTCCTTCCATCTTTGATCTGTTTTGAATCGGTTACTATGTATCCACTGAATAACCATATTAAGGGACTGTCCTCAAAGTCTCATTGATAATGTTTGTTCACTGGCTGCATTAAAGCCAATACTGTCTTTGCTATATTCTTCTTGACTATGAAAGCAATACCATTTATTTTTCATCTTCTAAATAGTAAACAGTATGAATTTCTGACTAAAAGTGTCCAATTTCAGTCCATTTCAATGTGCTGATATTGAAGATACTAATAAGTAGTTGATTTATTTCATATTTCACTCTGCTGTGCTTTCCCGTGTTACATTCTATGTTCCCACCATGATTCTATCTTTACAGGTTTGGATTTTCTTTTCCAGCATGGCAACATCAGTAACTAGATGTCCCAAAGTCTTTAATCTAATCATAACATAAACACCATTAATACTGTGAAAGATCCTCAGCTCTTCCTCAGTAGCAAGTTGAGTGCTATCCAACCAAAGGGTCCCATCATCTGACACTGTATCATCAATCACTTTACCTGGTCTACCCATGTGGTTTTCTTGCTAAAATACAGTAGTTACTGTTGCTTTCTTCCACACGCTATGAAATGATGCCTTTGTTCTTGTCACTCAAGTGTTCATCTGTTTCCAGCACATTTATATATCACTGTTGCCTGATATAGGTGCCTGCTTGCTTTAGCTGGGCAGCTGGGATGACCTTCATGCCTTGGGCAATCTGTGGGGAGTATATACTCTTGGTGTACCCTCCCAGCTTTCTTCATTCTCTCTTCCAGGAATACCCCCATCCCATCACAATGTGGCAGCATTGTAGGTCTTGAGGGAGATTTACCTCCCCATAAATATATGTCAACAGTTTAAACATATACTTTTCACTTGTGAAAATCCCACTCAGTAACCAAGTGGAGTTTCTTCTGAAAAGAGCTCAACTAATTTAGTACCCCAGGAATTACCTGCACTGTGGAGCTAATTTCAGATGCAAAACCTCCAGTTACAGGGGCTTCATGAGTGATGAGCAATCGTCCAGTCTTTGCTACTGACTAAAAGAAAAAAGAAAAAAGAAAAACTTTTAAGATTCATTTACAGAGACACAGCTTTCTGTAACTAAAAAGTGACATTTTACATAACTTGCCTCTAAAAGGCACATATAAGCAATTGTTATTTTGAAGTCCTGGCAATCCATGTGGACTACAGTGAAAGTTTCTACAGAAAGTATTTCTGTTGGGAACAAATGATTTAGCAAGCCATTATATAAGGTACATCTACTTTATTACTGTACTGAGATAAATAACAGATTGTTTAATAACTATTTCAACTTTTCAGAAACAATGTGTTCAACATTTCTTGAATTCTACATTATACTGTTTATATGGAAAATATTAATACATTAAACAAGTTTCTGATGCCAAATAAAAGATAAGAAGGAATTAGAATATCTACTCCAAATACATTTACACTATGAATAATCTACTCCAAATACATTTACACTATGAAAGCTCAGGATCAGACTATATACAAATTATATAAAGTTATAAAGAGGACTTCATCAACACAATCTGCCCAGTGCTAATAACAAAATTTATTTTCACATAATCAAATATTATTTTTAAAGTGCTCTAAAGCCTTTAAAAATAAAGCCTAAGTACTCTCTATTATATATTAAAAAAAAAAAAGATTTTCCATGGCAACTTACAGCAAACCCACATAAAATACTGAAACAGTTTGAATATATAAGATATAACATCTTAAATAATAAAACAATAAAAATAGCAGCCAAAATAAACATTTCTAGACAACAGCATGCTGAAAATCAACACAATGATTTAAATGCTAGCAGGTAGAAAAAAAGCTTTTGCCATTGAAGGGCAGTCCAGAAGCAGGGAGCTACTATAGAAAAGGCCCATTCTCTGATAGCTACTTGCCACATCTCAGCATAGTAAAACACCCAGAGAAGGCAAAGATTATGTTAGGTTGCAGGTAGGAACATACCTTTAGATACTGTGGTAGACCTAAGCAATGAAGGGCTTTATAGGTTAATACCAGCACCCTGACAAAATCCAGAAATGAACTGGAAGCCGATGAAGAATGTACAAAATCAGATCAATATATTCACAATACCCAGTTCTAGTCAATACTCCTCCACTATTTTCTACCAGTTTCTAGACTTGGACTCAAGGGCAGTTCCATTTCAATAATCTATATGAAATGGTACCAAGACATTGATTATCATTAGAAGGCTATCTCTGTTCAAAAACAGTTGTAACTGGCATACCAGCTTAAGCTGGGAAAAGTGTTGCATGTCAGAGAGGGTATCTGTGCCTAGATACCTTATTGCCTTATCCTGTGCAATAATGGAAATAGAAGTACTTCCAAGTTACAAACTTGATCCTTTAAAGGAAGTGCAACTTCTTCCAGAGCAGACTGATTGTCATGGGTGGAAGGAATAACCTTGAGCAACACGAGGAAGAGCCACAACCAAAACAAGAGTCATATTCCAGGGCAGAAATGTAATTTGAGAAAGCATCTCAGACAGAACCCTCCCTAGTTCTCACAAAGATAAAGGGAGGGAGGTGGGGAAGCATATTCAGATTTGCAAGATTCTGTATTGTAACCTTAAAATAAAAGTAGTATTGGCATTTATAACTTTGGTTTCCTAGTATGGTCTATCTTGAAGGGATAACACTGATTTATCTGGACAGATAAATCATCCACTAGCAGCACTTCTGCATTTCCAGACTGCGCTTCAATTTGTTGGTTCTCATCCAGTCACCAGGCATCAATTCAATACTTCCACTGCCTCACTTAACCCTGATAAACAGGAGATATACATTTCTTTGTCATCAGCATACTGACTCTAAATCTATGAACGATTTCTTCAGCAATTTCATGTAAGAGTTCATGAACAGCTTAGGGATAAAAGGAATCTTGCAGAGTATAAACACCACATGGTTGAAAAGGTACCCAGCACCACCTTCCAGAAACAGGCATTTGGATAAAATGGAACCACCCCGAAGCTGTTCCAGTCCTACCTGAATAGAATTTCCAGAAAGATACAAAGATCTATGGTCTCAAAAGCTGCTGAGAGGTCCAGGAAAATCAACATAATAATGTTCCTCCATCTCTGTACCAGCAAAAATAATCCCAGAGATCAAGGCTGTTTTAGTGTTAAAAACAGATCTATACCCTAATTCAAATGGATCTAGAAAAAACATCCAAGAATATCTGGATCTGCTCCCTTGAACATTTTGCTCAGGAAGAATTCCAGCTGCTGCTGCTGCTGCTGCTGCTGATGATGATGATGATTTTAAATCTTCTGGGCACAGTGTTGTTTTTTTCTCTATGGCCTCCTTTAATGAGATGGGAACTGCTCCTTTGTGTAAGAAGAAATCTGTAAGGTCCTCGACTCAGCTGAACATCCCCAACATAATGTAGTAAGCCACAAAGAGAAGAGCTCAAGAAACAGGTAACTGACCAAACTCTACTAAAAACTTTGTCCACATCCTCAGAACTTAAGAACTGAAAGTCATCCAAGGACAGTACCCTGAGTACCTCTACAAACTGAACTGTCTCATTCAGTCTAAATCATGACAAACGCTATCCATTTTATATGCTCCACATACATTTAACTTCATATGCAATACGTATAGGGCAGATATCTACCTGAAGTGTTTCATCCAGTATAAGCACAGCAGAATTAAAAGGAACTGAGGACTCCAGCAGTACATTAACATTGGTGTCTGTGGGGCTCCTTCGTAATCTTGGTATATTACCCTCTTCTTGTATATTACTGCAAACAGGCAGCTTGCTTCAAATTTGCAGCAGGTTCTCTTCACATTTCTCACTAAGCCACTATAATCACATATTTAATCATACCATTATAGTTATTCTTTAGTCTCCTAAAGGAGCCTTTGACAGGCTTTCAGCAATGAGAACCAGAACAACATCTGATCACACTGGCAAAATTTATGGGTTGATATTTACTTCATTCTTGAACATTTAAAGAAGCAGCACGTACATCATGAGCAAAATATAATTTTATTATGATCCCAGTTAGCAAAGCAATATGTGTTATCTAACTGACAAGAAAATACTGTAATTCGGAAGAAGCAGAATCTAAAGAGAGGCCATATTTGAACATAAGTCTCAATGTATTAAAAAAAAAAGCAATGGCAACACCCAAAAATGTGTTTTGCCTGGCTGAACCACTTTTTATGATGGATCAGCCAGGCCATATAGCTCTCACCAGGTCTGATTTGCTTATCAGATGTTCAACAAAACATAGATGATTCTACTGCTTAAGATTAAGCCAAGCAAATGAACTCCAGTTACTCATTCTTGCCTTAAGGAATTTTGTGTGGGCAAGATCTAAAGAGGCATACATTATCTCTTCCATTTTTAGAACAGTTCAAATATCCTGAAACAGTTATAGTTACCATCTTTTCTTCAATTTCATTTGAATGTATTAAATTCCTCCCTAACCCATACATTATCTGTGGCAGAAATGGCACATCTGGAAGACTGAGTATCTAGGTCTACAATTCTAATCATGTGAACTGACTATAAAATAATAAAGCATATATAAAAAGGATAAAGACTCCCTCAAGTGGAATTCAACTCCTGGTGAGTGCATATACAACACGTTAATCTCATCCTCAAGTTGGAGCACTGACAAGCTCAAAACTCCCACTGGCAACGGACTGGCTGGACCAGGAGATGAAAGAATTAGTCTTCTGTTTTATGTTTTATTTGGTTACCTAGTCAGCCAAACAACTGGTAATTTTCCTCCTGGTTGAGGGCATGTAGGGAAGCTAGGAGCTACATAGAGCTATCTTCTAGAAAGCTGGGAAATTGAAATTTATTATTTCACATAACAAGATTCAGAATGTTATAACTACACTTCAGATTTTGCTTTTAACTAATTTTGCTTTACTCAATATGTCTTAATAGGCTTAAACATACAATTGTTACAGTGTTGTAACTACCCAACTCTATGAATGATTAAACATTCCTGTCCTCTAGAGGAAAAATACCTTTCCAATTCATTCAAAAACAGCATGTAAATTGTAGGGGGCAGGGGGGAACCTAACCTAGACTTCTTCATAACACTCAATAGTCCTCAGGCATACTTTTACCCTCATCTCAGACTGGCATTTATAGAGCTTGTTTTAAATACTGACACAGGTCTCTCAAATTATCTTTATAAAAGGCAAGTCAACATCTATAATTTGTTCGCTGTAGTGAAACATTATAATTTATTCAATAAAAATGTAAAAATTGTCCCAAAACAAGAGATAAAAAAATTACCTACAGACAATCTGAACCTAGTTCTTATGCTGCAATTTTTAGCACAATCACTTGAGATTAACCTCCAATGAACTCTATAGTTTACTTCTGAAAAGCACAGATAACACTGGCTTGTTAGGGACTTGTAAAGTACTTCCAAAAAGAGTTAAATCATATATACTATTTAAATATAGTTAGGAATTAATTGGCAACCAGAATAGATGTGCAAGTTAAGTATATATTAAAATTCCTTAATTCCAAACAAAGAAACAATCCCCCCCCCCCACAAATTAGGAATCCCAGAACCCATACTACCTTTGTGACTATTATTCTAAGCAGCAATGTACGTAGAAAAGTATTATAAGTAAGGACTTGCTCATGAATTGGAATGTAATCCAATTCTTCCTAGTTCTACAAATTCTTACCCCGAGGAAAAACAGAAGACAAACAGGAATGCAGCCATTCTTTCTGCTTGCAACTTTATTTTAATACTGTCTAGGACAAAGCAGAAGGAATTGTTAGCTATCAGTTCTGCAATAATAGAATGGCTATTCTCTGAATTATGCGTCATTTTCTTGAGCAGTCACTAGGGAAGCCTAACTATTAATATGGATAGTCACTCTTTCTTCATATCTTACTTATTACTGAATATTCCTAATTATTTGTATGCTATTCTGCAAAAAAACAAAGCTGTATAAATTAACTTGGAAGGAAGAGAGGATTTGGTTTTAAATAATTACCTTTCCTAAGGTTCAAG